ATGACTTAAATATATGTTTGTGTTGACTACTTTGAAACTACATCATAGTCATTGATTTCACTTAAAAAAACTTCTGCTTCCTTTCCTTAATTTCCAAGGATGCTGAAATTTTTACATCCCATTTTGGTTGATATACCATTTGGCTGAAATGAAGAGTCTTGAAAATGTAATCTCTGTAATGGACCTGCCTTCCTTTTGTTATTCTTGTTTGTTTTCTGAAAACTGGGTCTTATGCTATAACCATAGCTATCCTGGACATATAGCTATAGTGTTCTCAAACTCATGATAATTCTCCTATCTCAGTTTGCAAATGCTGCTGCATTCACTTAAACTCTTGTGAGCACTTGTTTGCCCAGTAATAGTATTACCTTTTAATTACCACACCATTGTCTAGAACAGTGTTTTCAACCTTCCTAATGCTGTGAACCTTTAACAAAGTTCCATGTTGTGGTGACTCCAACCAAAAAAGTTATTTCTTTGCTACTTCATAGCTGTAATTTTGTTACCATTATGAACCACAATGGAAATATCTGATATGCAGGATATCTGATATGTGACCCCTGTGAAAGATCATTCAACACCTCAAAGAGGTCATAACCCACAGATTAGGAACCACTGATCTAGAATTATATATCCTATATGAAATCAGTATGTTATAGCTTATTTTCTGCTGCTTTAAAACATTCCATGACTTAAAGAAACTTGAGGAGGATTGAGTTTGCTTGGCTTACACTTTCATGTCATAATGTGTCATTGAGTGAAACCAGAACCAAAAGTCTCATGTAGTAACCTAACCAGAAAATATGGGGGTGAGGATATGGCTCACTGGTTGTTCTTTAGCTTGTTCCCAGGATGATGGTCACATAGTATTTTTATAAAGCTAAGGAAAAGCATCCCAGTGGTGGTGCACTGCCAACGGGGAGTACATAGTTTGAGGTCAAAATATTTGTTTCCCACTTCTCTCTTGCTGGAAATTTGAGGGGTTGTATGTATATAATCATAGAAAAAAACAGAAAGTTGAAATGATGAATACCTTTCTTTTTATATTGAAAATGTATTTGGAAGAAAACAATTATTGTTACTGAGGTTAGACTCCAATCTGTGCCTAAGAAATCTTCTAACTTCTACCTTCCAAGTATCCATGGCTACAGACCTGTGCTACCACACTTATTGGGAGCAAATATTTCTTTAAAAACAATGGACTGAGGCTGCAGGTCAGGGTTATAATACTTTCCATGTCTAAAACTCTGGAGTCAATACCTAGAACCTAACAAGTAATTAAAAAAAATTACACTATTGGTCATTTTTACCCAATTTCAGTGTTATTTCATCCCTGAATTAAACTAGACTAAGCCAATAGGTTATACTATACATAAGTTCTGAGTCATACACTTCATGATATTTGTCTCTATTAGACAATAGTGTTGTTCATTTAGTCAACAACACTTTAAATATTTGATATATATGTATATGTATACATATGTGTGTGTGATAGCATGTTTAGACTAAAGAAGAGTGTAGCTTCTATAATTCGAAAATCATGAGGCATATGGAGAAATGATACAATTTTGCATTTTTAAGAGATTAGAACAGGTGAGAATATTATTCTCAGATAAGTAGTAATGAACACTAATAAGAAAAAATAGCACTCTATATCTATAGAGGGGAATGGAGCATATTCCAGAACACTCTCAAACCTTCCACTACATTGTATCTACCCCCATCTCCACTATCACATTATTTTTAATTTTCCCTCTTGCAATAGAGTATGTGAGCATTTATAGTATTTTTGCCAAATGGATCTTATTGACTTGACAATGATATGATGCATTCAAGTGAAAACAAACAAACAAACATATGCTGAATTCTGTCTAAAATGGAAAGAGGTAGCTGTTAGGCTGCAAAAACTGTTCTGCTTTTATGGCATTTCCCAGAAATAACTCTTCATGCTGACATTCATTCACTGGAAAACATAATTAGCTCTTTCTGGGATCCATCCACTGCACTGTTCAAAGTGCCATTTCACAGAAAAATAAACTCCAAGTCCTGACTGTGTGAACTGCACACAGAGATAAAAAAGCAGAAAGCAGTGTTTGAGTCTTCCTACTCATAACTTTACATGTGTCCATTTATTGGGATGTTTTGTTCCTGAGGCACTATGCAATACATGCATGAGATTAGAGGGCTGCTTTCTATTGGATTCTTCTCCTTAACTACTAAACATGGTGCCTAAATATAGATGTTACCAATACTCAGTAAATAAATAGAGACAATTATTAATTTAGATAATTATTCCCCTAGGCATTGGTAATGTTGCTTTAGTGATGTCTTTAACAGATATACAGTTGGTCAATACTTGGAAGTTGGTAGGCAGATATTCCTGACTGAGCTAGTAGTTTGCACTGAAGGCTTCAGTAAGCATGGGTCTCCTCTCATCAATATCCTCTCTAATACTACAATGGGCCCTTGGAACTGAATATTAAGTACACAATCATATCATCTTCTATCTTCAAAGGCAACTGTGTAAGATATGCTTTCTGGAACATCCTTGGGCTCTGATGGCCTCATGAGATAATATCATTGAATAGCTTCATTAGTTGATATAGGTCAAATATGTACTTGGCTGAGAGGAGAGTTGAGAGAACATCTTCATCCTGTTTAGATGAGACCTTCTGTATTAGGTGAATCTCCTTTTCTAAGACTGTTGCTAGGAAACAAAAGAGGAAAGATGTGTTCACCTACCCCTGGTAGCAATTTTTAAATGGAAATAAGTAGAATAATGGTGTTAATGATAATAGCAAAGTCAGATGAATGTGTAAGAGATTGCAACTTCATCATCTCTGCAATTTCCAAGCTATTGGTCTCAATGGTTGAATGGTATAAAAACACAAAGCATTTTTAAATATTGTTATACTTAATCCCTATTTGTACCATTGATTAATATTATAATGTGTAAATTAAAATAACAATTGGAGATTTATCCAGAATAAATTTTTTTAAAATCAGGTTTAATTATAACCTAAACATCATCTCACTCAACCATTATCCCCTGGAATTCAGCCTTATCATTAAAGAAATTATCCATCTTTTATCTTTCATAGGAATATCCACAGGGGTGTGTATGATTATTTTCATTTGACTGTCCTCTACATGCTGCAAAATCAACAGCAACAACAGCAAAGGAAAATGTTACCACAGTGGTTCCAACAGCCCCACTTTCACCCCTTCCCATATTTTTTTAATTAATGAGAAAGTCAATATATTAAAGGTACATTAGAAAAAGATATACAAACCTCAAAATTACATATCATTGAAGATTTTGGGGATTAATTTGTGAAATACATAGTGAGAATTTATCTATCTAAGTATTTGTATGGGCATTTTCTCTGTATATCTCTTCACTACGTGTATGCTTGCTACATATAGAAGTTAGAAGAGGGTGTCAGACCTCCTGGAATTGGAATTAATGATATTTATGAGCCATGATGTGCATTCTGGAAATCAAATTTGGGTCTTCTGAAAGAGCAGCCCATGCACTGAGTCATCTAACCAGATCCTGGTGGCAGACTTTAAATAGAGAGATAGGAGTAGACACAAGAGAGAAAATCAAGGTGTTCTAAGAATAGGGAGAAACCCAGAATTAGACAGTCTGTGGAAAGGGGATATAACCTTAGAAATTTCAGGGCTATGAATTTGAGTTTGTTTTGTTAAAGGCACCCACAGCAATGGGGCCTGAGGAGTATTTTTCCCAGTGACGCACAAACACCCAATTCTTTTTATTATTAAAACAAACTTTATTTTTTATTTTACATACTTATCCCAGTTACTCCTTCCCTATTCATACTCCTTCCACCTCCCTCCCACCCCCACAGCCACTCCTCAGAGAGTGTTGAGGCGTCCCAGGGCACTCCCCAATTCTAATAGAAGTATTTGAGCTACTTTTGTCTTAAATAAGGCTATGACTCATAAATTAGTGCCATTGTAAGACTCAAAAGACGATTCTGGAGACTGTGTGAGTTAGAAGTCAATGTGCTCAAATGCCTTATGACTGGACTGTCTCAGGAGTATGTTCTGTTTCCTAGACTAGAAACCAATGCTGAAATTCATGTACAGTGTGCCATATTCTTTCTGCAGTGATCATGGAGGGAGTATCCATTCTTACAGGCACATTAGGAGGCTAGTTATAGTGAAGATCAGATTTTCTGATTTGGTAGTTTATAAAACTTTACAATAAGCTCATGAGTTGTAGGTATTCCCTGCATGATAGAATACTCTAGTCCAATAATTGTATAGCCTGGCTTAATCATGTCATAAAAATCATGTGAAGTCCACAAGAACTTGAATTTTGCATGTGGATCCTAGTAATTACTCTGGTTGTAAGCAAATGCACAAGTCACCAAATACAACACATGTCTTATTTTCTGGATAAGGAATTACAGCATAAATAATAAAAAACCCAGAGATGGATATTTGGGTTCAATCTGAAGGTTAGAGAAGCAAAGCATCCAGCCTCTAGCTCTTACCTCTACCTCAGACTGAAAGGGCGATTGTTTCCTCTGATTGCATCCCTGAACTGCACTTCTCCTCAAACTGCAATGCATTCCTGTCCTCTCCTGCCTTATACCCTCTTTCCCCCAGCCATATCACTCCTGTCTCCATCTCCCAATGCTGGAATTAAATTGTGTGAGCTCTGTTTCTCTTTTAGACTGATTCACACTCATGTACCCCAGGGTGGACTTTAACTCACAGAGATCCACCTGCCTCTGTCTCCTGAGTGCTGTGATTAAAGGCTTGCCCCACTGCAGGCAAGTTTCTCTGGCTAACTAGTGTTGCTGCTGGGATTAAAGGTGTGTACCACCACATCGTGGTCTTATGGCTGACTACTGTGGGTAGCTTTGCACTCTGGTCTTCAATCAAGCTTTATTTTTTAGATCATAAACAAAATATCACCACAACTAATGAATAATATTTCTTCTGACAAGGTAATTATGACAGCTTCAATAGTTTTTAGTTGCAAAAAACATTTTGGGGTAAGTGAGGTATCCTTGTTCATTCATTGAGGTTGCTATCATAAATTCATGCTTTCCCAGTTCATTGACTGCAAGAAAGAATGAGAAGAATTGAATTAAAAACCATTACCATGTGATTATACTTCCAAAATAAAACCTGAAACTCAACTTTCCAACAAAAGAGAAAACCTGGTAATTTCTATTTCTATGAGCTATGGCTACAAGAGAAAATTGACTTGTCATTGTTAATAAAGCATCTTTACAATCCTATGCCCCATATTAGATTGTACATATCTGTGTGGATCCACACATGCTTACATATTGCACATGTACAGGCATAAAGATAAAATTTTATTTCTAGATATTTACAAATGAATGCATGTGCTTATCCATGCCCACAAATAAGTGTGTGCACATTGTTAATTCATACAAATTCACATTGGATTCCATCTATATTGTTTTATGAACACACAAGTCATATTCTTTTTTTCTTCCTACTTTAATAAGGTTGAATGCTTGAGTTTGAAGTGTAATTGACATTTGATGAGGAGTGGTTATGACAAAGCCTCCTGCAAATGGAAAGACATCAAGGAGGGCATGATTGGAAACACGGAGAGCTGATATTGATATATGATGTGTTGGGGAAAATGGTTTATATTTTGAAAGTTAAACAATAATTTACCTCCTTGTGAAAACTGGGAATAGTATAACAAGATATTCTATAAAGCAAGAATATATTAAAATATATGTAGAGAAGTAGCAAGTCCATGACTTTTCTTACACTTTACATATGCTGGTAACTGTGGTGACAAGTTTGCTTCACTGAAATGATGGAAAACCCAACATGACTATGAATTCATCCAAGTGTAGAGATTAGTTGGGTAACTAACAGCTGACAAGCAGTTCTGTGGTCTCAAAGATGTGGGTTACTTTAGTATTCAAAAGTCATTTTGCATTTCACTATCATCACCGGGAACTCATTCATTCCCAGCCTGCAGGAAGGGGGAAGGAGAGCAGAACAGTGAAGTCATTGCTCCTTGTGATGCTATCTGCTCAGAAGAAGGAGTTTAGTTTGTTCCCAAATGACACTCCACCTGTATCTTATTGAATACACCTCATTATCAGGTAGGTATATGTGATTTGAACTGAGTATTTTGTGATTCTGGATAAAACTAAGAAATTGCACTGAGGTCCACTACTTGGGGACCAAGCACTTAAATATTTGAGCCTAGAGGACCATTCTCAATAAAATCGTCATACAGAGCCAGGCAGTGGTGGCTCATACCTTTAATTACAGCACTCAAGAGTCAGAGGCAGGTGGATCTCTGCGAGTTCGAGGCCTGCCTCATCTCCAAAGCTACACAGAGAAACCCTGACTGGTAAAACCAATAATAATAATAATAATAAATCACACAGGGAAACTGGGATAACTGATACAGTGTTACCTTTCAGAACTTCTGGACACTGAATTGACACAGTACTTGACAGGGGCATCTTAGTCTGGAACAGAACCATCCACAATGCCAGATGCTATGTTTTTCCCAGGTGTAATTTCATGGAGAGGAAACTACTTTCAATTTTTATTAAAAATATTCTTGAGATCCAATTCTCCTTTTATTTGTACCCTGCACATAACTAATGTAATTAGAGGGGTAGTAGCTGTATTGGCTAGTTTTTTTGTGTCAACTTGACACAAGCTAGAGTCATCAGAGAGTAAGGAGCCTCCCCATTTGAGCAAATGCCTTGAGATCCAATTTTAATGCATTTTCTCAATTAATGATCAATGTAGAAAGGGCTCAGCTCATGGTGGTTAGTGCCATCCCTGGGCTAGTGGTCCTGGGTTGTACAAAAAAGGCAGGCTGAACAAGCTAAGGGAAGCAAGCTTGTAAGAAGCACCCATCCATGGCCTCTGCATAAACTCCTGCCTCCAGGTCCCTGCTCTGCTGGAGATCCTGTCTTGGCTTCCTCCAATGATGGATGATGATCTGGAAGTATAAGTCAAATAAACCCTTTTCCCCAAACTTCCTTTTTGGGCATAGCGTTTCTTACAACAACAGAAACATTAAGACAGTAGCTTTTACAGAGAAATACATCTTTTTCATCTATTTCATTACGATTTCATTTTCAACCTTCCTAGGAACAATGATGTTCTCTCTGTGTGTGACATTGAGCCCTCCTCTATAATTTTCACTTCTTGTTATCTTCAATGTTCTTAGTCCCTGCCAGTTAAACCACAGCTACCCCATATTGTCTTGACCTCATATATTCCTGTACCTAGAATAGTTCTCTCCCAGCTTCCAGCTCAATGTTGTGCTCTGTGGTTTGAGGTGTGTATGTCTGTGTGTGTGTGTTTGTGTTTGTGTTTATAGAGTATATATGCATATTCTCATGCATAAGGAGCAGCAAAGCACATGTGTGAGTGCCTGCGGACACTAGAGTTTCACATCAATTGTCTTCTTTGATGACTCCCCCATTTTATTTATTGAGGAAAGGCACACACTTGAACCCAGAACTTGCCTACTTAGATAGTTGTATGCCTTTTTGGCATTTACATGGATTCTAGGGATCAAATATTGGTTCCTCACATTTAAATAGTAAGTTCTTAATTCACAGAGTAATTTTCCCAGCATCTATCACTTTATTTCACTTTTCTACATTCTCATCTTCCATCTCATACCACCAGTCTGACTCAGAGTTCTTCCCCACAGCTCATATAAACATCTCTTTGAATTTACCAATGGTTACTGTGTTATCACATCAAAACCCTACGTTATTCAGTCCTCAGATTTGTTGGCATCCAAAGCCCCCCATTCACCCAATTGATTACTTCCACTTGTTGAAATGCTTTGGCTACTATAAATCCCCTACTTTTTGTTTTTGTTTTGTTGTTGTTGTTTTGTCCAGTACTCTAGTCCTGCTTACCTCAACCATATCTGTTACCAATCATTTATTATTTGCTTCTCCCTCTCAGGTTTTCTTCTCCCATAGGTCATCTTGACCACATCACAACTATAGTCACCACTGCTTATAAGTGGAAGACATGTTTTTACATATGCCAATATTTCCTACATGTGCCCTCCAAATCTGATTTTCTTTTGTCTTAAGTCATGAAAAATTTAGGATATTTAAAAGAAACTCACTATTTCCAACGAATGTTTTCAGTATTTACTGAATAGTATTTCTATACACTTACTTAAGCAAATAGAGAAACCAATATTCCCTGTTTCCCACTTCCACTCAATCTCTGAAACAGCTTTACTGAGTTCACTCCTTAAATACTTCCCATATTTTTTTCAAAGCTAAGGCACCCTGGTTTACATTATCATTTTCTCTCATCTGGATGCTGCAATTTTCTGCTAATTAGAGTATTCACATTTCCTTCTCTAATTTGCTAGTCTTCCCTCCTCCTCACCCTTACCCTATTTCCATCTGTTCCACAAAAGGCAGGAAAGAGGTTGTAATCACATGCACACTGACTTAAGACATAGAAATGGCTTTACACTGCCCTGAGGGTGAAAATGAAACTCCACAAGGCAGCTATGATTATCCTCCTCCTGAACTCTTTCTCTTGATGCACAGCACACCAGCATCCTCACAAAGAGGGGAAATTTCTGAATTTAGACTGTAAAATCCAGGTTTCAAAGTTTCTGAGTCACAGGACATTTACTCAGTATGTGTTTACCTTACCTCCAATTCCACTTCGTCCATCCCTTCTGCTTTAACTGGATAGACCTTTGCTAGCATTGCCACGTTTCACTGGAGCTCTGCATTGAACCAGGTACGCCATTACACACAGACATAGTAAGCATCACTACTACTGTAAATAAAGAAAATGTCTTTGCTTTGTTGATAGGTGTGCATTTTAGAGGTATCAAAATGTCAGAGAAGTCCCATCCTATCGAAAAGCATAATCCAGGCATCTTTTTTCTGCTCTATATTTTGTGAGGGCGTATCAACCTATCATTCTCAATTACTTTATTAAATTCTGAATGATATGACTTCTTGGAATTCACAGATTTTCTAAAGGGAAGGGAATGCATTCCTTCATGTCAGACACATGTCCTGGCTGTAACTGGTTCCAATCAGTAGTCTCTGTTTTTTCTCAATCCAGAACTGATAGGACAGAAATCAGATTATATTTAACTATAGCTTCTAAAGTAGGTAAATATTTTCTCTATTTAGTAAAAGTTTGTATTGAATTAGGAGAAAAATAAGCCTCATTTTAGAATACATAAAGGTTAGAGTATAAAAATGAAGATATAGTCTATCAATTTCTGTGGCTTAAATTTGTTCCCCAAAACCGTGTGTTGGGAAAAACCAACAAATTCATATATGAATAGTATTCTAAGGTTAAACTTTTGATAATTAGCTAAAATTATATAATATCAGCAGAGTAGTAGCCCCATGAGAACCTGGGTGATTTTATGACAGCTTAGAGACGTGATATAGCTTGCTTGCTTTGTTGAATGACATGGTGCCCTCCAGCATGCTACGAGTCATCAAGAGAGCCTTTCACAGATTTTAACAAGATGCAGGTGCTCTGCTTTGGACAGTCTCCAGAACGATGAGCTCAATAAACTTGTATCATTTATATATTACCCAGTTTGGTATTTTGTTATAACAACAGAAAATGAAGTAAGACATCTGTGATATTAAAGTTTCATGTGGTGGGAGAAGTGTCTAAGGAAAATGATGGCTACAAAGTGTCCTTAAGGGGAAACTATTGAAACATAAGTTTGCAAAACCCTTTTATGTCCTCTAAACACCTTCATACAATCCCATTTCCTTATCCTTAGAAAAGAATGCAGTTACTCCTTGGGAAACAGCTTGCCAAGTCTGGGCACACATGAAATTCTATGTGAATTAAACATCATCTGATACATTCTCTTTTTTGATCCATTTGGGAACCCTTTGTGAAGGTCACTGACAATGTCCATCCACATCAGAGGTTTTCAATCTTGCTGAGTCCAAACACTAAAATTCAAGTTTGCCTTTGTTGTGTTGTGCCTATTGATAAATTCTTGCCAGGACAAACATGTTGAGACCGTGTGTCTTAAATGATATTGGTAGATGTATGGGACCCTTAAACGACAGAGCTTTAATAAAGAGATGGGACTTAATAGAAGATTATTAGTCTCTGGGGGTGTCTTGCTAGACTGGAGCATGTGATCCTTGTCTCTCCATATTTCTCTTTATTCTGAGTCATTATGTGGGCAGTCTGCTATAGCATCCATTTTGATAAGCCTTGCCTTGAGTACATTAACCCAAGGTACAACTAGAGAGCCACTAAACCATGTACAGGAACCCCCATTACTGTGTGTTAAACATATTATTTCTCTTGTATTTTGTTGTAGTAAAATTAAATATAGCTGACTTAATTTTATATTGTTTTTATCTGACACCAACTGGAAGATAAATGCTTGGTAATAAATAAAATAGTAGCTACAATTGATTTAATGACTACAGACACTAGTATTTACAGACACTAGGATTTAACTTTAATCATGTGGCCATGAAATAACTCTTTTGTCTTGTTGTTCATATTACCACAATGTCTATGGGACAAAGGAGAAACGTGGTTTGATCTAGGTCATGCACATGAAATATGGCATGTCCTACTACTATGGTCTATTTGTTCTCATGTCTACTTAGTTTATATTTGAGGGTCAAATATATCCACCTTAGAAATGTAGTAATTCCACTGTATTATATTAAACACAGTCATATCATATCTCTTTGGGCAGTTGCTTCAGCACATTGACATACATAAAATCACCAGCATGGCCCACTGCTACCAAAAACAAATACCTACAATGTGATTGATTTCATGAAGGCAAAAACTGTTCATCTGATGGACCAGTGGTCAGTTTGTAGTATTCTGTAATTTCGAAAACCAAAATCCAGTGAAACTCTCATAAGTTAGCTACTGTTATTGTCGAGGCTTAATATAGAAGGTGTTGGCATATTAGCTGGACATAAGAGTTAGATGTTGGTATGAAATAAGAACGGTACAGGAACTTTGGGAAAGTCTGCCATATCCTCCTGGAATTATCTGTAGATCATAACATAGAAGTGGATATAAACTCAGCAAGATATTTCGATGCCCTCCACTCTCTTGGAAATCCTAGAAGGTACAGGATCAATAAGTCCCCATCCGTATTAAAGCCAATGCATTCCACTTCAGTACATTCAAGACAGATTCCCAATGAGAAATCCAGTCTGCACAACTCTATTTCAGCTTTTAGGGCAAAATCCTGCTAGTCTGCTTGCTGTGATCCAGACAATATCATAGTGATGACTGTGTTTATGTGTGTACTTGCCTGGGCCAAAATGTCATATGTCCTCACTGTTCCTGTCAAGGTGTTTGCAGACAAAAATAATACATAAATCAGCAAAATGAACAAAAGTAGGTGTCTTTTGTTTCTTTTTTCTTTTATCACTTTTTATTTTAATTTTAAATAGCTTGTTTTACATGGCAATCCCAGTTCCCTCTCCCTCCCCTCCTCCCGTGCTCCCCTTCCCCCCCAGCCTCCCACACTATTGCCAATGCCTTCCACATAGGGGATATCTAGAGTCTGTAATTTCACTCAAGGTAGGGTCCAGGCACTCCCCTAAGAGTCCAGGCTGAGAGAGCATCCCTCTTTGTGCTATGGGTACACGATGACTGTTTGTATTCCAGGGATAGACACTGATCCACTGCTCAGGGCCCCATAGGTTGCCCAGGCCTTCTCACTGACACTCACATTTGGGGGGTCCAGATCAGTCCCATGCTGGCCTCCCCGCTGTCAGTCTGGGGTCCAAGAGCTCTCCCCTGTTCAGATCAGCTGTCATTGCTGGTTTTGCCAGCCCATTCTTTGCCAATTTGCTCATCACTCCTCTCTCTCTGTCACTGGGTTCCTTGGGTTCAGTTCAGTGCTTAATTGTGTGTTTGCCTCTGCTTCCATCAATCACTGGATGAAGCCTCCCAGATGGTTATAGACAAAAAGTTCATTATCAGGAATGGGCATTCGAGGTGGTCTCTCCACTATTGCTTAGCTTGCCAATTGGTGTTATCCCTTTAGATCACTAGAGATCACTCTGGTGCCTGATCTGTCTTCTAACCTATGATTCCCTCTTCCCCATATTCTACCCCCACCCACTCAACTTCCTGTTCCCCCATGACCTACTCTCTCTTCCTCTTCTCCCCCTCTCTTCTTCCCAGCTCCCACTCCCCCCCACCGCTAAGTGTCTTTAATAGGTGTGAGTGAAACTCATATAATAAAGTTCTGAGAGAGGAAAAGTGCTTACAATTTCCAGAAAAAGGCAAGATTCATCGTTCCTGATGGCCTTTGACCTGGGATGTTAGCTTACTTCCTAGATTGTTTTGAACAAAAAGAAGAATGGTGTCCTACGTGTCCATCATTCTCAGTTATATGTATCTTGTGATGGGTCCTTTTCTATAATCACATAAAAGATTATTTAGAATGTGTCTTTTGGGTATATGCATGTGTGTGTGCATAAATTAACATGATTCATATGTATCAGTATCAAATATAGATCATAAACTCAATCTATTATCTTTTCTATTCATGTCTATTGGCCAGTCTATCAACTTACTATTTATTATCAATCAACTCATTGAATCTGTCTTTCTACACACACACACACACACACACACACACACGTATCTAGACTCATAGATAGATACATTGAAAGATATACATTTTAAAATTTTTCTTCCTTAATAATAAAATTTTTACTTTTGTGATTCTATTTGTGGTGACAATCCTTAGTGATCAGCTTGAATATGTCTGAAATGAATTAAAACCCTAGCAGCTAGGAGCATCTATGAGGGGATTTTCCTTAAATCATTTGAAGTGGAAAGGACACCTTTCACCCAGATTTTCAATCTGGGCCACAACTTCTGGTGTCAGTATGTAGAAAGAACATGAAGAAGGAAAGTTTGTCTCTTTGCCTGATTATTCTCACTGTAGCTGGCAAGATCATTCCTTCTCTTGCATTAGAATTTGCTTCTTCAGGAATCTTCAGGTATATACTGAAGACCATTTGATACATCTAGTCAAGGAAATTTGAGGTTAAGTGTCACTCTACACTCTGGGAAATGGATCACATCCAAACAACCACAGTTTGCTTCTGATGATTTGATTATGTACAAAATATGGTCAAAATGAATAAAAATCTGCTACTAAAGAGAGGATGGCAAAGTATATCATAATTAACTATAGCAAAGTACCTAAGGAACACTTTTTTTAGACAGACTATTCACTGAGGAAGAATGGGTATTATGTCTAGGTTCAACCTCTACATTGACTTTTGCTAAGACTTATGAATTATTACACCTAAATTTTGGCATTTCTGAGTTCACACAGCTGGACCAGGTACTCGTATGTTTTCTAGGTAGGGGGATGTGTGGTTATATTTAAAAAGCAGTGGTACTTCATCAGTGACTATATTGTATCCGCTCAAGGTTTAAATGCCTTGCTTTGGAAATTGTCTCCTCCACTATTCTGTAAGCAACAGACAATTATAAGGGACATTGCTTCAGAATGATTGGCATACATAGAAAACCAGGTGTCTGCCGGACTCTTTTGCTTCCTAAATTTATTTCTAGCTTATGACAGTGTATAGGCAAGATCCTTTCCCTCATCATAGTTAACATGCTAAAACACTGCACCATTAAAACAAATTTTATCTGATACTTCATCGTCTATATTTTATTTCAGAATTGTGTTAGGAATCCTCTTGAGGCATTGGCTTGCTTGAA